TTCTGACAAATGCAAACTATTGAACTGGGCTTAGTATCATAATAACATTAATGAAAAGGCACAGGGCTAGATGGCTTATGGGATACAAAGATTTTACATTTGTGAGTTACTTGTTCAAATTCAGCCCTATTAACAGAGAACAGAAATTAAATTTAACTCCAGAACCATGAAATGGAATAATTGTTGGAGGCTTGCAGTGGACCTCCATCATGTTGATGGTGATTTGGCCCTCTTTTAGTTTTGAAAGTAGAGAATGTCTTAAATTAAGGGTACAGCACAGAAAAATGACTGCAGAGTAGGATAATGTGAACTTAGGGCATGTCAATTGCTCTGCCAACTGCCTATATAAAAGCTTTTTACCTTATATAAAATAAGTTACCTCCCATAATGATGAGGGAGAGAATTTTGTGAAAACTGTACTACTTCTGCACACATTTTTCTGTCAATAAATGGGACCTTTAATCCAGCAGGGCAGCTGTTTTGATACTTGTCATAGCATCAGATCTACAATCCCGTCTCCTATATTGGCACAAAAGACCCAGGATGGTCTCTGTATGCTTTGTGCTTGATGTAGAAACTTGGCCTGATACCGCACTGGGAGAGATTATTTACATATATGTACATCTCAATGCAAGGAAGATGCTGAGATATAATGTTGGTTTATGTTTGTAAAATGTTTAGTTCAGAATTTTTGATATTCAATTTAGAGGTAACTTTTGAATGCACTTAACTAGATTTTCCTGCGTAGGTGATTTGTAAAAGTTACTTCTCATTACAGTTAGCTGTAAATAGGTATTAATCTGAAATGCGGTGTGTTAATAGTGTGTGTTAAGTAGTATGCAAGACTGCATTCCGTTTTATTCTTAGTACTTTTGATAAATCTTAGATATACATGAAACTCGGAACTGTGGTCATGTTTTCACTTGGCTTTCACAGGCTGATGTCTTCATGTGCATGTTGATTTCTTTTTTTGTCCTTTTTGTGGAATTTCGAAATTTGTGTGCCTTTTTTAATGTCCCGGTCAGATAATAAACCATAGTTAAAGAAAAATAATGATATAAATAACTACCCCCCAGCTAACTGTAACTATTTGAAAAAAGCTAAATAAGGTAAAAAACTTACTAATGTATTTAGGGGCTTGCTTCTTTAAGCGTGTTCTTATTTCCTCTACAGTACTGGAGATAAATGTGTCCTTAATTTTAAACCGTGTGGACTGTTTGGAAAAGAGCTTCACAGAGTAGAGGGATACATTCAGGACAAAAAGTAAGTGATAAAAGCCTCTTGGCCTCTCCGTTTCTGAGCAGTGTGGCATTTCTTTAATGCTGGCATAGTGACCACAACTGATGTGACTGCAAAGTTGCTAGCAATGCAGATTGTAATCCATTTCTGTTCTCTGTGTTAGTATTAAACCCCTTGAATCTAGGATGATCATTTTAAGCATTATTAGAAAAACTCTCCAGTCCAGTCTTTGGAAATAAAGGTATCCAGGGAAAATGCAGAGTAGTCGCAACTGATTTCACTGTTGTACAGTCACAATTCCAGTCTTTGGTTTAAAATAACGAGAATATGGTTACTAGAAATTTTTAATCAAACCCATACCTGTTTCATGACTCTGAGTCTCTATATTGTAAACTATTGACTTTATTGCACCCACACGAAGTCACGAGGATGTTTTTCTGCAGGACTGAATGCCAGAAAGACTGGAATAAGCTGAAACCTTTTCTTTGCATTATCAAATATCTGACTTCTAAGAAATCTGCAAAGAAACATAAAATACAACAAAGTGGGAAGCTGGGTATTTAATATAGGTCAGAATCTGCATGACTTGGCTTAGAAGGCTTTATAAGAAGCAAAAGCTAAGTCTCCTTTGCTTTCTCTGCAGCAGAAAGAAGCTGTGCATGATCTATGGCAAGTGGACAGAATGCTTGTGGTGCACGGATCCCACTACATATGAGACTTACAAAAAGAATGAAAAGAGAGGTGGTGAGCAGAAGAAATTGAAGCCGGTAAGGTTAAGGATTCTTTAGGGAGAAAAGATACTGAAATACGAGAAATGAAAGGAAAACATCTTCTTTACAGAAGTGGTCAGGTGGTAGTGAACGGAGGGTTAAAACAGTCTGTCTTTTGATAGGGGTTGGATGCGGGCAGTGTTAGTCCCATGAGAAGGCATTGCACTTTGAACTTGTGTAGACTTTAGTGTGAGCTGCTGGTATTGAAAAGAGCTCCTAGGAATGGTGTTTGCTAGAGATTTGTCAAAGAGAAGTCATCAAATATCAACCCCCAAGCTGATGTTGTCCAGTCCTTGAAGGAGGAAAGTGGCTCTACTGCCAACTCCAGATGTAAAAATACTAGGATTTGGGCATTAAAAACAACAAAAAAAAATTATGTGATTTTTAAGTCAGTTATGCTTTTTGGTGATGCAGCCTTTCAGAATTTGTGCTGTAGACAGCCTTGACAGCAAAGGGGTCTGGAAACATGCGGGGTTTTTTCATCACATGTAAGCAATGTCAGGTAAGTTACTGTCAAAGCCTCAGTCTTGTATGGAAAATGCAAAATGTTGTATGGTGCAGCAGAGGACTATTGGGTTTCCTGATATCAACAGGGTCTTGCAGACCCTGGTTGCTCATTGAAAATGAAAATGATAAGTTAAAACAGAAGCTAATTGCTCTTAACATTAAGAGGCTCAAACTTTTATTAAAAAGTATTCACATCAGAAGAATCTAGAGCAACAATAGGCCTTGCTTCTAGCTCTGGATTCTGTCACGGTACGTGCTTATATTTTGTCTTTTTTTTTTAAATAATAAGGTTCTGTTCATCTTACGAAAATCAACTTTTTCTTTCCTTCCTTCCTGTTGAATCTATATTTAGATGGGGAACTGTCTAACAGTAAACCAGATGTTGACATGGAAAGTAGCCTAAAAGAGTCTTTTTAAATAATGAATACTCAAACCAAATGATTGAAATTAGACTCTTAACCATATGGAGCTGTTTTCTAGTGTATAAAACAGGCTCTGTTTAACTTAATAGGGTATTTTTGAATAAAATAAATGAGCCGTGTCAGAGGGGGCAGAAAGGAAATAGAAAGGGGGTGGGAGTGAGAGAAGGAGGAAAACTGTGATACTGCCACTCTAGGATGTTATTGCCTCAAACGTCCCTTCTGGTTGTTGTGGTTTTAAATGGTTTGTCATGGTGAAATCCTCTGAAATTCCACAGTGTAGCTGTCTGTCCTACAACAGCCAGATTCTCTCAGATTCTGAGAGCAGCCTCTTGAAGAATACTGCATTTGATTTTATATATGCATTATAGTAGTGCATCTGGTAACAAAGGAACTTGGAAGGAAAGACACTATATGTATAAACTTAAACACACAGTCTTCATAGTGAGAAAATTGGCAGTGATAATAGTTATTAGAATCTAGATCATAGGAAATCAGACTGAAAAAAGGGCATATCTGTTTTTCAATCGCACATCCAAATCTTTTGCGAATGGTGAAGCAATATCAAAAAGCAGGCATGCCCTATTTATCTTTCTTAGGCCATTATGGGAACTGGTTTAAATTGCAGTCCTGGCTCATTTCAACCTGTAGAGGTAATAGTCATGTTAGGTGAAATTAAGCTATGGCATGGGATAGAAGGGAAGCTAGAGAAAAGACTTCTGAAAGACATTAATTTACTATTATTAATTTTTTTTAAACAGACATTCAAGTTGTACATAGGTGGTGGGAGACTAATCAGAGATATCAGGAGCAAGACATTACAATAAAAATGAGAGGAACAGTATACAGAGTGAGGAAAAGCAAACATGAGGAGTGAGACAGAAGTACAGGAGAGTGTTTATTATCTGAAATTTGAACAGATTCTTCAACAGTCACTGTAGAACTCTAGATGAAACTGTCCAATTTCCCTTCGTTCCCCTGCCAAATGTTATCTCTGTTTCAGAGTGAAGATGTTATTAAATCCGAAAATGATGAGGCTGATGATATGCCAGAGGTTCAAGACACGGTGCAGTTCATACCAGGCAGTAAATTGCTTTGGAGAATAAATTGTAGGCCACCAAACTCATCACAGGTAACTGTTTCAGTCAGTCTGTGTATTGCTATCGCTAGTGACTTATCCGAGGGAACATGAGTAATGTTCAAGGGAAACCTTGTTGAAGTGTCTGTCCTTACCATGCATAGTGACAGTTCTGGCAGTTCTTGCTGCAGCAGTAAAACTATACTACAGCAAGCTCTCTGCTTCGTTCCTGTGCTGAAAACATCACTGCTGTGTTGCAGTTGGTAGAAAGAATGCATGCTCTGACTGCAGCTGCCTCAGTGAGAGTCTGGTGTCTTAGGTTAACCTGTCTGCGAGACCTTTGCACTTAGAGTGGCTAAAATATAGATACACCTTCCCTTCTGAGGACCTTGCTGTTAGAAGACAGGCTTCCAAAAAATGCAGTAACTGGGCAGCTGGATATTGACTTCAATAGCTTCAACAAGACTTTTTGGTCTTTCAGGTGTGGGTGTTTTTTTCATAAAAATCATGATGTTAAATATCAGATATGGAGGCAAATCTGTCTTGATCCTCTGAAGCAAAGACTGCTTAAAAAATGAAAGCTGTGATTTCCATCCCCTTCTGCCCTTCCTTGTCCCTTCAAAACAACAAAACCAAGCTAGTTTTGTATGAACCAAACCTTGCTTTCAGGGTTGCCAGTGGGCTAAGGTTTGACTCAATACTTTCTCTTGGAAGTTCTGTTGTATCCATTTGGTTTAGGGAACCCAGTGCCACATTGCCAAAATAACTTGTATGTTATCTTTAATTTGCTTTTAAGATGTACAATTTCACCAGTTTTGCTGTGAGTCTCAATGAGCTAGAAAAGGGCATGGAAGCAATATTAGCTCCCACTGACTGTCGGCTACGTCCAGATATCAGAAATATGGAAAATGGAAACATGGGTATGTGTTTGCTGGAGGAAACATTTTCACATTAGTAAGTTTTGAGAGGGATGACTGAAGGGAGGTTGGTTGATACAGGAACACTGTCTTCAGTTTCTCTTTCCCAGAGCAGCCTTAACTCTTTTTCATGTGTTAATGAACATGCTTTTGAACAATGTATGATGTCTGTTTTCTCCCAGAAAAGTCTGGGAGAGCAAATGTGTCCGAGGTGGATCCTAAGACTGCTATCCTATGTTATGGTGTATTTGCATGTTTGTTAACTTGGGGGGAACTGGCAGACATGCTGTCTTGCTCTGGAGTTTGTCTGGAAAGACATGTGGTGAACAGACATGCTCTGTTGCTCTGGCGTTTGTCAGAAAAAACACATGGCCAAATAGTGAAAAAAATCACTCTCTCTATTACGCCTAATCTAAGTTCTTTCCTGCTGTCTTGGTGCAGTGTTTCTGATAGATAAAACACCAAAATTTCCGTTTTGACTCTGTTTGTAGTAGCAACTTTTCTGAAACGACAGTTTTAGTTCTTTGTTGCCTGAGATTTTCATTGTTCAGTGAGATTGTGTACAGCAAATGCTTTCTCTTGCTTAAATGAACTATATTTCACTTCTCTGCAGTCTTTTTTGTGTTTTCTGCATTTTTGTTTCTATTTTGCTAAGTAACCAATTTCTCTTGAAATGTTTGCTAGATGTGGCTAGCAAAGAAAAAGAGAGACTAGAAGAGAAACAAAGAGCTGCTCGCAAGGAGCGTGCAAAAGATGAAGTGGAGTGGCACACACGGTAAGGGGGAAGGACGTTGGGCATTTGTTCAGTGCTTGGAATGGTTTGGTGTACTGCTTGAAATGTTTTTATGCAAGTCAGTGTGTGTTTGATTTCCTGCATGACAGCACAATTTGTAGTGTCACTTAAAACATTTGCTGGGTCAACAATTAAATAATGTAGCTGGAAGCCAAAATTGCTGATACCTTTGTCCTGGAGAAATTATCTAACAATACATGCTGAAACCTGTCATAATTAACTGCTGTGGTAATGCTGGATTTTTTTTGGTTTTGTTTTTAAAAAACCTACAGAGGCCACATTTTTGTTAGAATGAAGAAAATGTTAAATCTCGTCTCTCCTTTAACCAATTCCTGTCCAGCTTTTGGCAGTTGAGCAAGATGTTGTGGCCCTCTAGGGCCTTTTATTTTCACACTCTTAGGACTTCTTGGCTTGGATACTTCAGAAATTACTTTTTTGATTGCATATTCAAGTGACTTTGCAGTCATAGAATGCATCACGGAGTAATGTGTGATTTGGCTCCTGCTCCTGCTGGTTGCTTTTCACAGATGCCAATGCTATGCAGTCAAGCGTCTGCTCACGGCCAGTTACTGCAGGTGCTTCCTTCAAAGGCAAGAACTTTGGGATGCTCCCATGATTTCATGAAACTCAGAAGAGAAAGCATTCTCTTCCCAAAGCCTGGAGGAGCAGCTACAGACTAATTCCAGTTAATGCCTTTGAAAATCTCTTCCAGAGAACATAAAATTGTTTTCAGTCAACATGGCTAAAAATTGAGCATCTGCTAATGTTCTGTGCAAAGTACAGCTCCATAGGAGAAAACTGTTTCCTGTTTGGACAGGTTTACAAAAAGGGTTGTGTAACTGATTTGGCATTCTTTTATTATTTATAATCAATATATAATCTAGAGTATCAATGTTATTTTTATTTGGAATGGGACAGCGATTTTAAAATCCATTTCATACTCCTTGACTTTATGTAAAAAAAAAAAAAAAATTTAAAAAAGGATGCTTTATAGGGTGTGATGATAATTGTGTATGAAGCTTAATGCCTTATTTTTCATGTTCAGAATATTTCCTGAGAATTTTTTTTCTGATAAGAACTACAATGTCTTTTTACAATGTTTGTGAAAGAAGCAAAGTTGTTCTTTTCCACTATTAATAACTGTTCACTCTGTTTGCTTTTTTCTTTTATTGTTTCTTTCTTTTTTCTCTTTTTTTTTTTTTTTTTTTAAAAGATGGTTTCATCAAGGCACTAACCCATACACTGGGACTTCAGATTGGCTGTACTCAGGTGGCTATTTTGATAGAAACTTCTCAGACTGTCCAGACATATACTGAAATTACGGAGCCAATTGCTCATCTCATCTGGACATCTAGTTACTAGATTTCATTCCAAGCCAGTTACTCTGGTTTTGTTGATAGCAAAAACCAGCTTTTCTAAGTAAATTTTAACAAAAATTCTATCAGTCAACAATCAAGAATTTAATTACCACTAATGTTGGATTGCCAAATATTTAAATACTGTTACATTTTTTTCCATAAAGCTGCACCTGAAATCATCATGTTTTCACTAATTTTCAAAGGGACCTTTGGTTCTTCATTTTTTTCCCTAGTTTCTTTGTCAGGAAGATACGCTGTATCTGGTAGAGCACATAACATCCTTGAAAACTACGTAACTTAAATAAAATAGAGATAATATCCTTGTTACTTAGTACAATAGTGAAGAATCTGAAGTTTTTGGAACTCGGAGCAGGGATGAAAAGCTAATATGGTACCAACAGGATCAAATCTAGTACTGTCGATACTCCCCGTGAAGAGATGCATGTGAACTTCCAGACGGTATGTAGCACTACGTGGGGACTGGAGCTCCTGGCCCCTCTCTCTCAGTACGATTCAATAATTCAGAGACTTGGGGAAACAAAAAACAACCTGAGCTTCTCAAACTGTAGTTGTCTGTTACAGAGTCTTCACAACTTTTGGACACTGTGAGCATTAAACTGTATACCTGTGATAAAATTACATAAAGCATACGTTAGGAGAAGGGAAGGGTGCATTAAAAAGTGTGCTTTTTCTGAAGTCAAATGCTGTTCTTAAAATACGAGAAGCTTCGGAAGCAATTGTAGGAATGTAAAATATATTGCTTGCTACCACTTGGAGGCTTAAGTCTTCTGCACTACCTTTGGCAGCTTTGGCACTATGTATGCTTCTAGACTAAACTTTTATTTGGAAGCACTTTGGTATGTATATCTACACAGGTTCATATTTTGGGGACATTTTGGTTTGCATGTTTTTCATTATTAGGTCATGTCTGTTTTGTATGTTGTGAAAAAGCAGAATCAATTTAAAGCTTTGGCAGAGTTATACCTATTACAAGTTTTCTGTGAGCACGTGCTGTCAAAAAGTGGGATTTTTTTTGTTCCTTATCGAACCATTGAAGCCATATGATACTGGAAATAATCAATTACTGAATTGACGCATTTTTTTCTTTCAAGTGGTACACTTCGGAGGGGTAGGGGGAGAGAGGCTTGAAAAATTAGGTTCAGTAACTAAAACTAATTCTAATGTTGCTGCTTCTTTCATAAAAGTTTTTAATTGAGTAACCAGGCAAAAATGGAGAGCGGCCACACTGCTGTTAAGTTTACAGTAATTCAGAAACTGCTGGTGTTAAGCACCAGCAGCTTGAGGAATTCATGGAAGAACTGGCCTGATTGGTGTCCAGACACATCTGTGATTTCATCCAAAGAGTAGATTTTTGAAGTGCTTCTCTCCCAGCTACACAGTTAAAAAGCAAAAGAAAATTAACATACTCATGGAGAAACATTTTGTATCAAATCATCCATCTAATAATTGGATTAACTTTAAATTTTTGGGAGATTTAGTTGTCTTCATTTGGAAAAATAAGAGAAGCTGTACAACTTCAAGGCAATAAATAAGGGCCTAGTCTGAAAAGTGCTCATGGCAACTTTATTCTGTTGCCAGAAATCGTACTCTGTGCTGATGCAAGTCTTCAGGACTCCCAAGGCAGACTTGGCAATACAGTGCATACAGTAGGGTTGTATTTGTTCCTAATGAGTGCATAGACACTTGACTTTTTAAAAGACATTGCTGATCCATATGGGACAGCATAAAAATACTTTTTATAAAAAATTGATCTTTAATGACCATGCCAGGCATTGTAACCCTCTTTCCAAACTCACCGCAAGCAGTATGGGGAACCCTTTGTTAGGTGAGGATTGAAAGAATTCACGTATTGAGCCAGTTTAACATCTCATGGGAGCCTAAAACTTGCTTAAACTAAATAGTATGTTTAATGCTGGAGTAGTGTTTTTAAAACAGTACATATAAATAGAAATTGCCTGGATGGAAAAATTGTAGAGTAATTGCTAAAGAAATAACTCTGTTTATAAGAAGTGTACAGGTCAGCATCCCTCTCATCTAAGTTATGATTTAAATTCAAAGACCTAAACCCTTTTCATTAGGTGAAAGCATGAAAAAATTGTAACAACGTGTTTAATCCAAACTTCAGTATAGAATCTTCATGGGATTTAAAAAGAAACTGGGAAGATTTCTGAAGTAAGAACACTTCATTCTCCCCTTCCTTTAGTGTAAAGTTTTTAGTAAAATTTCATGTTAGTTCCAAATCTGGTTTTTTGTAATTTATTGTTCTTCATTGACAACACTTACAAAATACTTCCCCCTCACTGCCGACATGTCTATGTTTGGCTAGCATTGGACTCCTAAAGCCGCATTTCGATTGCTCTGAAAGTGAAAAAGGTTTATTTTCGATGCAGATCTCGCCTCAGTAGTTTACGTGTCAAAAATGTTAATAACTTTGCACCTTTTGAAAGAATGTCACTTTTATAACTTGATTAAACACTGTATATAAGATAACTGTGTTAGTATATGTTAATACAGCTATGTAGAGAAACCATCTAGAAAGAAATTATAATAAATACTTAATACCCTCTGGGCCTCTAGATGGTGACAGAGAGATTTTTTGTAAGTGAGACTTTCGTACCAGGGCAGCTGTCTGGTAGGGCCGGGGGGCGGCTGGAGAGGACTGGCTTTGTTCAGCCAGCTCCGGGGCTGTACTTCTTGATTTCACCGTGATGCTTATTAGACAAAGATGATTTAAGTCAGAGCTTTGAATGCCCCCCTCGCCCCGCCACCGAGCCTTTTTCCCAACCGTGGGTGGACTGGATTCCTCAGCACCCCTTGCCCTGCGGTTCGTCGGGTCTGAGAAGTGTGGGGCGATGGCGAGGGGCGATGGCGAGGGGCCCGCTGCGCGGGAGTCGCCTTG